ATTATCTTTAAATAAGTTCCCATTTTTGGCTGTCATATTAATCCCCAAGTATTTCACTTTCTTTACCACATTCAGTCCTGTCTCATTCTGAAACCTCTCTCTTTCAATCAGTGTTAAATTTTTCTCTAAAACCTTAGTTTTTAACTTATTCAATTTAAAACCTGCCACCTGACCAAATTCCTGAATTAATTCTAAAACTCTTTTAGTACTAGATTCTGGCTCCTGTAACGTCAATACTAGGTCATCTGCAAATGCTCTCAGTTTGTACTGTTTAGCTCCGACCTGTATGCCCTTAACCAACCGGTCCTTTCTAATCATGTTTAGCAAAACCTCCAGGACCGATATAAAAAGCAGTGGGGAAATTGGGCACCCCTGTCGTGTCCCTTTTTCTATCTTAAATTCTTCTGTGACCACATTATTTACAATTAATTTAGCCTTTCGTTCAGAGTATATTGCACCTATACCATTTTCAAAACCTTGGCCTACCCCCATCCCATGCAGATTCTGCTTCATAAAACTCCACGAGATATTATCAAAAGCTTTCTCCGCGTTGACAAATATCAATACTGCTTTAGTGTTTATATTCACTTCTAATTTTTCCAAAATATCAATTATATTCCTCAAATTATCAGACAAGTGTCTTCCCGGGAGAAAGCCCGCTTGGTCTTTATGAATCTCTTTCATCAATACTTTTTCAATCTCTTGGCCAAAATGTCTGCAAAAATTTTGTAATCCACATTAAGTAACGATATAGGGCGATAGTTCTTAAGCTGAGTCTTTTCAGTCTCTGTTTTCGATATAAGTGTGATATACGCCTCTTTCCACGATTCTGGTACTCTTTTCCCCTCCAATATTTCATTGCAGACTTCCTTCAGAGGTTGCAATAACCACTCTTTCAAAGATCTATAGTATCTGGAAGTCAGCCCATCCGGTCCTGGAGATTTGCCCAATTGCATATTTTGTATGGCACCTTCTACTTCCTGTTCAGATATTTTATAGTTCAGCATTAATTTACTTTCTTGAGAGATTTTTTGTAGGCCATTTGTCTTCAAAAATTGGCCTATGTCCATTTCCTTCTGTGGCCCTTGTGTGTATAATTGTTTAAAGTACCTCTGGAAGCAATTTCTGATCTCATTTGGATTGTGTATACTCTTTCCTTCCACTTCTAGATTTATAATGGTATTTAATTTTTGTCTTTTTTTCATTTGCCAAGCCAACAGTTTTCCACATTTATTAGCTGATTCAAATGTTTTTTGTCTCATTTGTTTGATTTTCCATTCTATTTCCTGATTCATCATTTCCATATATTGTACTTGATATAATTTTATTTCTCTCAAAATCTCCTGGGACTTTGGTTTTGCTCTCAATTTCTTCTCACCTTCTTTTATTTTTTCCAAGATTTTATCTTTCTTTTCATTTTGACTTCTCTTCTTTATTGCATTCTGTTGTATCAAAAACCCTCTCATCACAGCTTTGCTTGCGTCCCAGATTACTCTTTTTCTACATTGGTGTTCATATTTATTTCAAAATAATCTCTCAAAGTCTTTTGGGCCTTTTGTAAACTTCTTCATCTCTAAATAAGGTGTCATTCATCCTCCATCTAAAGGATCCGGTTGTTGTTTGTTTCATCTCCATCCTTACAGCATTGTGGTCGGAACAAGTTTTTGGGCAGATTTCTACCTTCTTTATCTTTGGTGCCATTCCTCTAGTTATCCATATTTGGTCAATTCTAGTCCATGTCATCTTGGCTTCAGAAAAAAGGTTCCTTCTCTTCCCAGGGGTTCTTTACCCTCCAGATGTCCACTAAGTCCATATTGTCTGTCATCTCAAAAAATGTTTTCGGTAGTCTACCATCCTTGGTGACTACCTGTCTTTGTGCCTTGTCCATATTTGTAGATACTACTCCATTCATGTCCCCCATCAAAATCAAATTGTAGTCCAAATGATCCAGTAGAATCTCATGCAACTTTTTATAGAATTCAGATTTCCCCTCGTTCGGTGCATAAATTCCCACAATTAAAAATTTCTCTCCTTGTAGTTGAATTTCAATTGCCAAAATTCTTCCTTGGTCATCTTTAAAAATAAGTTTCGGTAAAAGTCTCTCCTTTGCATAAATCACAACTCCTCTTTTTTTAACTTTGTCAGATGAAACAAACTCCTGTCCTAATCTTTTATTAATCAATAACTTCCTATGTGCCCTTGTTATATGTGTCTCTTGTAAACAAATCAAGTCCAATTGTTCTTTTTTTAATAGATGAAACACACTTTTTCTTTTCCGAGGAGAATTCAAACCGTTACAATTCCAGCTTAATAGTTGCAGAGCCATGATGGGGGCTACTTCACTTTACCTCCAACTGCCCCAAGTGCCGCTTCTTGTTCTGTGGGTAGTATCACTTTTTCTGGGCCGTGCAGTCCAAAAGATAAGTTTGATATGTCTAAGTATGCCTTTTGGTTCTTCTTCAGATTCCCCTTCTTTCAGTAGATCTTCCTCGTGATCTTTCAAGAATCTGTCTTTTTCCTCAATTGATTTTATTTTTATCTTTCTCCCTTTATATTTAAAGGACAGGCCTTGCGGAAATTCCCACCTGAAAAGGATTCTGTTTCTTTTCAATAAAGTCACTAGATCTCCGTAATTGGACCTTAAGTCCAGCAAATGCTTTGGGATGTCCTTAAAAATCACTAATCTTGAATCATCAATTTCCAAAGTTTTTTGATAGTGCAAATTCAGAATTTTATCTCTCTCTTCTTTTGTTCGAAAGGTAATCAAACAGTCTCTCACCTTGCCCTTACCTTGTCTTCTTCCGAGCCTAAATGCATTCACTATCTTAAATTCTTCCTTCCCCGGGTCCAATTGCCAAAAATCTGTAAATTCCTGTGTAAGAAAATCAGCCAAATTATCTTTCTCCCGTTCTGGAACAGCCCTGATTCTCAGATTTCTTTGTCTATCTTTTAATTCGATCATAGAAAATGTCACATCATGGTCCTCCAATTTCTTGTATACAGGTGGAATTTTCTCTTGAGTAGCAATTGCAATATCTTTTGCTTCCTCTGCAGTCTGTCGAATCGAGGCAGATTCCTGTAATAATTTTTTCGATAGTCTCTGTGTTGGCATTCACCTTCTGTCCCAAGGTATTAATACTTGCAGTATTTAAATCAATTTTATTTGATGCTTCCACAACTTGTCTATTTGTCTCAACTACTTGTCTATTTGTTTCAGCTACTTGTCTATTTGTCTCAGTTACCTGTTTACTTAGGCTTTCCAAAGATTCATTAATTTTTGCTAGTGCCTGTGCCAAAACTTCTTCTGACGACATAGCTTTTGATTTAGACTGTGGGAGTGAGACCCCTGATGCTCCAGATGCTCCAGATGTTGAGCCCCTTCGCGGCAACGCAGTGTCTATCCGATAATGTCTGCCAGACCTAGTAGTTTTTTCCTGCGGTTCTGACTTCCCCTTATCTTCTTCCATAACAGTCTCATAGACATTCAAGGTCACTCCCACAGTCAGTCAGTTGTTTTGACATAGAATGGAATTTTCCTCTTTGTAACTGTTGTTGTAACAATGTCCAACCTCCTCTAGGGGGACACAGTAACAGTCAGAACTTGTAACTTTTTTTTAAAAGCAAAAATAGTCTTTATAAGTCCCCCAATTTACTTTAAAAGTCCACAGTCTCAATGCATTTAAACAGTTACTTTCAAGCCAAAAGAGGTTCAGAAACACTGTATCAATTTTGCAGAGTTGGCTGTCAGAAGTAAACTTTCTCTATGCACCTTTATCTTAAGGCAGTCCGTTCCGAATCTTAAATTGTAAATTTTCCCTTCCTCCCCCCTTCTTTACTGCAGGGAAATTCAGCTCAGTCTTTTTCCCCCTCCTCTCCTGCAATCCGGAGGGGGAACCACTTTCAAGATGTTAGAGTTTAGCTCTTTTCCAAGTAACTTTCCGAGTTTCCGCTTTGAAATCTCTTTGCTTTGATCTATTTACAATTCAGAGAAGGTAGACTTCCTGGTTGTACCTTCCCCGCTCCGTGCCAAATTAACTTTTTTTTTCTTTAAGTCCAATTTAATCCTACTCACGGGTAGTTGTTTTCAGTGCCGATTATCCCAGGAAAAAAGGCAGCGCTCTCCGGTAACAGCTTCGCGGCTTCGCTCCACGGAAGAAGCAATTTGCTCACAGCACCACGCCACCCCCGCTCCGCTCCGGAGCCCTTTGCCGAGCTCCTTTAGCAATTGGGGGGGGGGGCGCAAACGGTGCCCGCTGAGTCCCACAGTCACAGGCTTCACCCGCCTGTGATTTATTTGGGGGTCCCCGCTGCGCCGTAGCGACAGGACCCGAATTCCGTAAAGCCAGTTCTCTCCGAGTTAGAGAGAAGCAGCCATTACCGATGGCGCCACCTCCGGAAGT